ATAAAAACAAAACGTACGTTAAACTAATCCAAAACTAGTTCATTTGTCTATCTATCCTTTGAGATAAATTGTAGCAGAATAAAGTTACACTTTGAAACACAAAAGTGATGTTTCAAACGCCTTTCTCTAAATGTAGTACATATCAACCTGTTTTAATGTCATGTAAAGTAAAGACGATTTGATAGTGTATAATAAAGCACAATGTTACTTTTAATTTGCTCTGTTCGTTGAGCGTAGCAATTAAAGCAAATGAGAATATGTTAAATGTTATAAATGACAAAATGATTTATGCTTGCCACGTAATTTGTTATAAGGTTTTCATTGGATAATTAGTTAAATAAATGATATAAAATTAGTTGTCAATACTTTCAATACATTTAATTCTAGGGATCTTTATTTCAAATATCAATATAAAACGAGTCGGGAAAAAATTTTGAGGCCTTTCAGTAATTAATTTAGAGAAAGTCCATATAAGAAAAATGAAAAACGAATTATCTATTTATTTATTTTCAAATGATACCATAGAGGAAAATATATAGAAATTGTCAATATACCCAATTACGGACTATTTTGATGTTACAAATATGTGATATAAAGAAATATGAAATAGGTACATTGCATTCAAATAAAGCAACGTCACATGATTTTTTATCATTTTAAAATAATTTGGTGGTTTAAGCTGTAGAAAAACGTAGTGCGAAGCCTGTTACGATACGTTCACACACGCAAACGCAAACGCACGCACGCTATCTTGGCCCTCTTGTATATAATTTAGTGTCTGTTATAGTTGGATAATTTGAATATGTATTCCAAAAACAACGCATAACGATTAGGTATAATTACGCCAGTACTTCTTTCACAGTTTGACCATTTTCGGCTAATATCGCGATTGCAGGTTGATTTGTGTTTTATTTTGTTCTGAAAGTGATCTCCTTTACTGAACTATTTCCATAGTTTTATTTAAGTATGTTACACATTATAAGTTATATAATGTAAATTAACTAAACTCACAATTTTCTTATTCCAACATATTTTTAAATCACTGCTAACTTGTAACAGACTTGTTTGTAATACTGGGTTAATTAAATAGGAACAACATGCCCCCTGATAGTTAATAATCCTTTATTTTTTAAAATGTTATCCTGGCTAGGCAACGTGCAAACAAATAGTTTGAAAGATTCTTTATCTGATAACATTTTTGTACAGAACTAATATATTATACTCGTCTAAATTAAATATTGTGTGTTTATCTCATAAAACACGTTGTTAAAGATTACTTTTATTATACGTTGTCTACATAGAATCTGGTGGTTGTGTTTTTACCAACCAATTCTGCATATCGTCAATAAAAGACACGTAAGACAGTCTCATTTCACCTAATTTTGCCTTTCTGGCACGCCGTGAAATGGAGGTAAGCAATACATATGTCAGTCTTATTGTAATTCAATTCTTGGTATTGATGAACAGGAATAAGATTTTCAATTCAATTTTTTAATAAATTATGAACAAAATATTTAATTTGATTTTTCATTCTCTTTGTTTTATGTTTCCTTTTTTGTTTCTTGTTGGTGTTTACAAATAATGGTGTCTGATTGCCGTTGAAAAATCGTACTCTGCGAAACAACTAAATTCACCTCCTTTTTTCCATTTCTTATCATAATATATTTTACACATTTTGAAACAGCCCTGTTTGTGTGGATCACATGACAGGTTATTTATAAACATTGATTTAATATTTTATGCGTTATACTTGATCGCCATTGTTCTGATTGATTTATATTTATATCACTAATATAAACACAAATCTGAGACTTACGTTAAGACAAACTAAAGAAGAAGCTTGGAACAACAAACTTTTACAACAAAAAAGTTCTTTTGGCCACTTATTCCTTTTTATAAATGAATCACGTTGAAAAATTACATTTGAAATTTCTCTGTTATATTATTTTATAAAGTATTTAAAATTTTCTAAATTGGTATTTCGATCTATGAAATCCTATTATCTTAAACATTCGACTAAACACGTTAATGGGCTCAGCAATGAATTAACTCCTTAATTAAGGTGTGCAATTAACTGGGATTACATTTATTCTGATACAGTTGAAACAATTAAACGTAGTAAATGTGTCTTCGCAGAATTGGAAGGCTGTGGATGCATTTGCAATGTATCCTGGACGAAAATAAACCAACAAATAAATAATCACCCATCTGTATGTACGTATTTGCTAGCATTATGTCAAGAGATTATAAATTATTTATTGAGTTGGTGAAAGGTACCTGTTGAAAGATTCTTAACATATGTACACAGAAAGATTTTTTCGAAGAAAGCTTAAATATCTAAAAATTTGTGCCAAAAATAATTAAATTAAGATATGGAGTTTCATTTTAATTTAAGTTAAAACAGAAAACTTTTTATTTGCTTGGACATGTAGAAGCAAGTTACATATATATTATTTTGATGTTTTGAAATAAACCCAAATTTTGTTGTTAACAATAAATATTTTCTTTAAAGGTGATATCCCTTTCAGGCAGAAGAACATAAAAAACTTAGGAAGAATGACAGCCTCTCTTCACAACTGTTATGATGTACAAGCAATAACATTTGTATATCTATTATATCGAAATCCATTCGAGATTGTAAGCAATAAAATATACGGAAGAGTGATATATTTGAAGGCAATGAAGATAAATAAATAAATAAATAAATAAATAAATGCCGCGATTTCTTTGGACTGTTTATAGCAAAAATGGTAAAAGCAATATTTTTACTATATTTTGTTGTTTCATCGTACAAGTCGAATTATCTTTAATTAAGAAATGTTATGTCATTCATGACTAAAAGAGAGAGTGTTACTGCGCATTTAATTCTCACTTGGAAAAAACGAACGCAGAATGAAACAGTTCAGCATTACATCTTGCAATCTGATGGCAGTTTAACCTCTATTACTGTGGTAAGATATACGCTTGACTTGTTGATCTTATCAGCTCTTATCACTGTAAAGCATAGCTTACCTGACAAATTGGTATTACAAAAACCAACACGGGAAGGTGTTGTAGGAAATATATATGAACTTAGAATAAAACGGTAGATGATATCTAACCACATGGAAATAATTTCCAAGAAGTCAAATCCTGTATAGATTTAAACATCATTTTAATTTTATACATTTGAATATATAATTTATTACATAATATATATAAAGACTTATATTTACAATTTTGAAAGAAATGGATATTTCAAAGGTTTAAAATATTAGTTTGAAATTGCACCAATCCTCGGGATGAAATGTGTGGTTCATAATTAATTGTATTTACTACAAACATTATAGTAACTTTTTCAGAACATTGTACAACAAGGTTTCAAATCTTTATGATTATACAGATGTATGTTTATTTTCTTCGTGACATTGTAATTTAAGATTTATATCACGGACAATTACCAAAATTGCATCTCTTTATACGTTCTATTTTAACATTCCGAAAAATGCTTCAGACATTTTAAAAATTTAAAGTATATCTTTACATTTTTTTCTTGTTCGTTCAGAATTAAAGTTTTCCAATCAACAGGTCATGTCGGGCAAATTACGTGAAACATTAAGCTAGGTTAGATATTTGTCATCTAAGGGAATGGTGCAATTTGAACAATTTACAGAGAGAAATAAATGTAGTTGTCTGAATTGACTCATCAATGAGGTGTGAACTCAACGTTATTGGAGAACGCCGTAAATTTAATACCTCTGTTCGTCATCACGTGCAATTAATGGAATCACTTCAGACCACTAGGAAAAGGCAATATATAAACGACTATGAGACACACGATTGATAAATTCAGTTGGAACTGTGAATTACATACTATTGATATAGATTTTCTTGAATAAATGTATTTTTTAATGAATGACTGAACACTAGAAAAGGTAGGCGGCATTTTAACAACTTGTTATAATAATATTTTTAGGTATAGTATAGTCTTATATGTTTCTTATATTGACAAATTTACAGACACGTATTTCTGTTATATGTAAAACTTCAAACTAAGAATTATCAATACATTTTGTATTGAAAAATCATCCAATATAAATTAGATTTTAATATCTCAGTATTTCTTTGTTTTATTAACCTTTATTTAACGTAAAGCGATTATAGGATTAAAATAATTTTTTTGTTTTCATGAGTGTGTTCCTAATTTAATAAAAACAAAATTATTAATGATTTATTTCTAAGATTACGAAATATATCCTATGAACATTAAATATAAAATTATCAATAATATAATTTTGTCATTTCTATTCATCTCATATAAATAGAGTAAAGAAGTATTGTTAAGAATGTAAAATGAAATTTTTTTTTACTATATCACTCTGTAAACTAGTTGCAGATTGCCTGCAACAAACTAAGATTACATACAATCTTATAGCTTTGCCGTTTTTACTGTGTTAATACATAAAATAATATGTGAATCAAGTCCCCCTTATTGCTCATTACATGGTTTTACTGACTTTTATTATAAATAACTATACTTGAATTATTTAACAAAAATGTAACACAACTGTCAGCTTTCATTACAGACAAATAGATAATGAAATATGTGTCATGGAACTGCTAGCTCTTGCTGACGTCATTTTTAGTTTCTTTTTATTATTATCATTTGTTATCATTCTTCCGTTTATTGAGCTTAGAAATATGTTGCATTCAAATTCATAGATGTTTGTTTTAACTTAAACAACACCTCTATCTTATTTAAGTGTCATGAATGAATTAGTAAATATAACATATAATTTCTCTTACAGGTGAAGTGGTTACTCTAAAAACAATATATTGCTATGTTGTCTATGATTGCCCTCTTGAAATTCCATCACAAACACGTAATCTGAATAAGTATATAAATATGTGTTCTTAATGAATAAATTACATTTAGAAGAAAAATCATAGAATATAGATTTATAGCATATATATATATATTGGAAATTCAAACTTCACAGATAAAAGTTAGCTACATTGAATTCATCACGCATAACATCGACTTTTTAAAAAAGCTCTTAAAGGGTAACAAAAAGAACATAAATAACACCTGTGTTTATCTCTGTATCAAGGAATGGGGTTGCCAATAAATATCACAATTTCAGCTATTGTATTGGCTGTAAATGGAATTGTGTTGAGCGCTGACTGTTTTGTGTTGAGTGAAAAGGAAAACAGTGCTGAATTGTCTAACACGGATTACTCAAAGAATTTCATGATTGCAGACTTTGACAAGCCTCAGACGTAAGCTTTCTTGTTTATAAAGAAAAGGTAATAATCAATAAAATTGCACGATGCAAATACTTTTCAGCATTTAATCAAGATAATATTATAATTCTTTGAATTACATTTTTAATCAATCATGAAAAACAAAACACTCACGTTGAATCAGTTGATGATGTTTTTTTTTATATTTCAATATTAGTCTAATAATTTTATAAACTTGTTATTTTAAGTTAATTGCCATCAAGGTGTCTCCGTTTACATTGTGAGTAGTATAGCAGTATAAGTTTAAAATGTAAAACTACATTTTTTTTATAAACTACATTGTTTGATTTCAGAACAATCCGGCACTTTGCTAGACACGGTTTATGTAACAGTTACGAGGGAAAACGAAATCTGTATACTGCTATGAAAACGAAGCTGTGTAATATAAGCTGTAAGTTAAGTAAATTGAAATTGAAATAAAAGATTATGATTTAAATAACTTAATATTCTTCTTCCCGAAATATGTAATAAGTTACATTGAATACTTCAACGTATATTGTGTTACACATAAATGTTTACCTATCATAATAAGTAGAAAACATTACAGGGATATGTTTGTAATAGTTTCAACACATTTTAAAATATGTTTGTTATATGTTTAACTTATACTGATAGTGGCAGACAACAGGTACTTAAACTTTTATAGTAGTTTTTATACAGTGGACAAGCTGTACGCTAATCAATAGTGTACGATTCTAATGATATTGATATTGACTACATGCATTTTATTCTTCCTTTTTATTTTGTAGTGTCAATGATACAAAGTGTAGTGTTAGACCTTTGTAGACGTAAGAATCATATGCTGGACAAATGGGTAGAGGAATTATTTGACATCGATGGTACGTTTATGAACATATATCAAAATTAGTATTATTTTTTCGCTTCGATTTGTTTTTCAATAATCATAGAGTTCCTTGAAGACATTTACAAAGAAAACAATTTTTAGTTGTTACTGTAATTAAGAAGTACGAATTTAGTCAGCGTCCAATATGAAATAAGACTAATTAGACTTGGATTAAGATAACTGCAAGGTATATTTATATGCTCGACATTATTTTTTTCTTTCAGGTAATGGATACATTACTCATTTTGAGAAGCAATTTTACTCTTGAGATTATTCAACAACTGCTGAAGAGCTAAATGTGATACATCAAACAGTATACAGGATAAGGTCAAACATAAGTCGAATTTGATACGGATACATTGACAATTCCTAACATTTTGCACATTCCTTAAGCTCGTTTATAGAATGATACAAAGATTAGTGGCATAAAAACAATTCTTTCGACATCGGTTTCCTTTAGTTATGAAATGTCGATACAGTAGATATAATACATTCCTAAAATGCTTGAACAATTGTTTAGATATTTTCCTTGTCAATGTATACTTTATGACTTTAACATGCACTGTTTATTTCTGAATCGTTACAGTTTTTCAATGTTTTATGTGTCTGAATGAATGTTTTTAAATAGGAATTTCTTTACATTTATACGTACTTTTACCTCAAATACCGATCCAGTATTATACAAATTTGTTGTTTGAATGTCAAGCTTTTTGACACGTTTTACAATTGTTTTCATTTTTTGCATGTCTGAGGTAGAAATAGAAATATAGTTTATTGAATAACTGTTATGTTGTTTACATAAAAAAACACATACTCGTGTGTGTTCATTTTGTTTATATCAAGTCTTATGTTAAACCAACGACGCGTAAATGCTTGTTTCTTTCGATATTAATGAAATGTAAAATAAAAACAATATCAAATGTAAAGTTGTTAACGAGTAATCAGTTACAAACCAAATTGGGCCAGTAAAATGTTAATTACAGTCAATATAAATAAAGTGATAATTTGCTATTTAGTATTTCTTCAATAGCAAGCCTTTATTATTAAATGAGATTGACATTGTATTCTACTCAAATGAAGTACCAGTAAGTTTGTAATCTATCAATAAAAACCATTTGGAGTCCCAGAAAATTGAGGCCATTATCATACGGTGGAGCGTGGGTAAGAAATGTCTTTTGTGATGTAAGCCAGTGTGCTTCCATTGTATTGACTCTTGTTTAGTGCTTGGGAGTGTGAAAATCTTCTGGATTGATATTGTACACTTGACATATTTTAACCCTTGACTTACGATCTACATGTTAAGATTTCTCAATACATGTTAAGATTTCTCAATACATTCCTGGCGGATTATTTTAACATGTCTTAATATTCATGGATACATATATTATAGTGTAAAACCTTACAAATTTCCACATTCTGAAGCATGTTCGGCAACTCGGGTTCGGCAGTCTCTCAATACGGTCTGATAACATTATCAAGACAATCTTTCCTAGGTCATATTGTTAGGATTTTCGCCAACGTTTAAATTAAATTTGAAATCATTTGGACTGCATCTGCCATGCGGGGATTGATTTCTTTGGTGTTTGTACCTTCTATAGAAATTTTTGACTAACATGAACGCAATATTCTGACTTTCAATTATTGCCTGTGGTATAGGTTTTTGAACACGTTAATTATTCAAGTGGCAAAGGTTCACTACATAAAAATATATATATTGAATTGTAAAGAAAAATGCCTTCAGACTTATTTAATTTCTCTTATATATTTCTGTATTTCTGTAACATATAAATCAAGAAATCCCCGGGTTGGGGGCAACTTTGACCACGGGAAACCCGCGCTTGTGTTCTGCACACTGTGTCATTAAAAGTAATATTTCTGCCAAAAAGTTTTAAATTTATTTTTTAAAATTAACAACCCAATAATCACATATTTTTTATTAAAAACAGTTATACAGGGATGTTTAAAATTAGCTATGAGTGGGAAATTAAAAAAATAAAATTAACTTTCTTTTTTTTAAATATTCAAAAAAACTTATACAATACACCTTTTTTCCCTTTTGTTTTTTAATATGTTTATACTTTTAACCCAGTTTACAGCAATTTTCTCTTTTTTGACCTTTTTTCATCGTTTCATATTTTCTTTTATTCCCTTCTGATCATCAATGCCCAGAAACAAAAAATGACTCACGGTCGCCAAACAGTTTAAATTTTTAAAAAACCCATGAAAAGCTTTAAAGATATTCTACTTGCATTTCAGTCGAAAATTCTGTTTGGGAAAAATTTATATCTTTAGACATTTAAATAATTTTTACCCGTGAATATAACCGGAATAAGGGATTTTTGGAAAAAAATTTTTTATCCTAAAATCACTGACGGTGTTGCATCTGAATGTTTAGTTGGTAGGATATAAGCAGCTTATTTTTATTTGTCAACAAACAGATGTCTCGAAAAAATAATTTTTTTCAGTTTTAACTAAACAAATTTTTAAAAAATTTTTTCAAGGGTTTTCTACATTAAATAAATATGTGGAAAAAACTTCTTCTTTTCCCATTTATTTATTCATCTTTTAAATTTATGAAAAAGGTAAAAAAACTTTTTTTTGGAAATTTTTCCAGCGTGAGTGCCAATTTTTAAGTTTTGACCGAAACCAAACTTTTTTTTTTTTGGTAAACCGCACATTAACTTTTGTCTATCTCTAGCATTTTTATATCTTCGTGAATGTTCAGGGGTTTTCCATTTTTTTTTTCGGGGAAAAGAAATAAGTTCTTTTTTTCAAAAACAACCATGTTTAAAATTAAAACCCAAATTGTAAATATGGGAATTTTACCATTTATTACACCCTTTTCGGTGGTTTATAAAAATAAAATCAGAAATATAAAACTGATTTTCCCTCACTTGTTTGAAACAGTGTAAATATCAGTTTGATATTTTTCACTGTTTTTAAATTTAAGCCCGTTGCGTTGTCATTCAGTGAAATACCCGAAGCGTGCCACAAGTACTGGATAACCAAACCCTGAATGAATATGGACCGTCGTAAAAATGACGTCACGCTGCATTTTTATTTGAGCGTTTTTTCATTTTGTATTAGGTTAAAAATGTTTTTTTAAACGGTTTTTTAAAAACATAATAAAAAATAAATGTGTTTTCGTTCAGAACAGTGTAAGATTTGCACATTTTATTTCACCTCCTGTACACAAAAAATTCATAAATAATGTAACTTTTGGTGCTCAACCGATGAAATAATAATTCAGATCCCTACAGCTGACAAAGCAAATATTCTCTATACTAAAATAATTGGTTGTGTGTTTTTCTGTTGTTAATACGCCGGTATTAAGACATATTTGGTAGTAACCCAGGGCTGTAGATTCCCGTAAATAACCAGTAATTTTACTAATTACTCTGCAAGTGACCGACGGTATTTTATATATTCGTTTTTCTTTTATATAAGAGACATCACCTTCCCCTTTATATGTTTAGTTGAACTTTTTATTGAACGGATTTGGTTTTCAACCCTAAGCATTCTTTGTAATTAAAAAAAGACGCGAAAAAGAAAATAAAAAAAAAACTCCACATCATAAGTCATGAAATACAATTTCATACAATTTCAATAGTTTTTTATTCGCTGGCGTGAATTTTGACAAAAATCGTCGTTATTAGGGTGAAAATTCAAAAACAGGATTTGGCTTTCAAACATTTTATTTAAATGTGGTTTTTAATATCAATCTACATTTTTATTTCATATTCATACAAAATTTCCTTAAATCCCGGGGTTTGTTTTTGAAATTTACCCAGTATATCAAACTTTTAAATGACCAGTGATAAGCGCTGTTTAAGATCAACAAGTCAAGCATATTTTTAAACCAAAAGTAATAAAGGGGGGTGAAACATTTATCAAAATTAAACAAGATTTTTTAATTTAAAAAAATCTGTCTTTCCTCTTTTTTTCAAGTAAGAATAATTGCTAATACAACTCGTTTTATTTCATGAATGATTACAAATTTTTTATTAAGGAAAATTTTAATTCCTTTTTTACATTTTTCATTAATGCATCAGGGCGCTGATAAAAAATATGCGTAAATACATTGCCCCCTTACCTTTTTTTTTGCTATTAAAAGTTACACTCAGACCGGGTTTATTTTTTAAATTTTAATTGTTTTAAATGGATATATCTTCTATTCATTATTTTCATTGTTTATTCCTGAATAAATTAGAATAGATATACAAATGTACTTGCTTCTACATCATAACAATAGTGAAGAGAACAAATCAATCGAGGCTAAACCAATCGAGGCTTCCAGTCTTCCTAATTATAATTATTTCTTTTACCTATTTTCTTTTTCCCTTTCGAGAAACTTTTTTGTTTACAAGATAATCGTGTTTAAATTGCAAAGTGGTATTGGGTTTGTAACTTGCTTCTACGCGTCCAAACAAAATAAATCACTTGCATATCTAAAATTTTTTAAACGAATTTCTTATTTTTAATGTTAAAATAAATTTTCAGGCAAAGGTCCTTTTAAAGATATTTAAGCTTTCTTCGGAAAATTCTTTCTGTTTACTTAGCATTTTGGAAAATTTTTTCAAAAAGGGCACTCTTCCCCCCAAATAAATTTAAATTTTAATAACCCTTGGGAACTAATCCTAGCAAATACGACATACAGTTTGGGTTTTTAAGAAACAATGGTTTTTTTTGTTGGTTTTAAACTATTGATGCACCCAAACCGGGGTTTCCCTGTTCTTGTTTGGAAAACCCATTAACTATGATTCCCAAACCCTTTTCATTTTAAATCAAAAACAAATGTTAATTCCCCATACAAAAATTTGGGAAACGTCTGAATTGATAAATTTCCCAATTCTTTTTGCTGGGGGTAAATCAAATTTTTTAAAAAATTAACTTTGTGGGTTTCGACGGCCCATGGATTAAAATCAACAAAGCTTTTTTGATATAAAAAAAACAAAAAAAACAAATTTATGGGGACTCCATTGGGGGGTTTTTTGACTTTGAAAAGGACTGAAATATTTTTTCCGAGTTTTTTGTCCCCAAATTTTGACCATTTTATTTGTGTGAAAAATTTTCAGTTTATTCTTTTCTCCTTTTTTTTTAACAGAAAGTTTTCATTTTAATTGTACAAAACGACTAAAAAAACGAAAAGCGTTGCAACGCGTTTTTCTCAAGACTGGCTAAGAATTGTACAAAAGTTTATTTCAAATTCAATTCAGAGTATACTTCTTTAACCTTTGCAGATTTGTCCATTTTAAGCGTTCCACTTAATATTCGTTAAATTTTGAAATTTTATTATTTCAGGCATTTGGACATTTGAGGAGTTCCTTTAAATAGTTAAATACTACATTTATTACTGAGACATTTAAAAAAAATCGTCATTTATTAAAAGAAATGAAATGCCAAAAGAACTGTTCTTTGCTTGTTTATGTTCAGAATTGTTGTTCCAAAATCTGTTTTATTATTCTTATCCTCATGTAAAAAGTAATGTTAGCATTGTGTTTATATAAGTGATGTAATTATAAATTATTCTAAAGATCAAGTTTAACATAGAAATATAAAGTTAATATGTATAAAAATCATGCGTCAAGTGATCCGCTCTTACAGAGCTGTCTCAAAAATTGGAGAACTATGTTACGAAAAGCTTAGAAAAGCATTGGCTGATTTTGTGCCATTCGTGTTTTTGCCCCACAACCCCGCCAAGCGAGAAGTCGAAAACTAACAAGTAAAAGTGGCGGAGGTGCGGAGCGAAAACACGCTAATTGGCGAGGGCGCGGGCGAAGTTAAATAAATAAAACGTCGTCCCGCGGGGGCGCGAAGCCAGATTTCAGAAATAAAACAGCGGGGTCGCGGACCTAAAAT